AACAATGTGTAATATCAGTCTATATGCTGCTACCGCGTTGTCGTACCGTAAAATCGTAACGAATGTATATTATAATAAATGCAAAGTACTTGAAGGTTTTCTAAAAGTATTCAGTTTAAGTGGTATTGAAGCTGCGTGTTTTTAAAGAAGAACATTTTCACGATTTAGTCAATCCAATAGAAGATTCGACGTTGTATTCATAATTATCTGTGAGTTCAATTTGCGACTGATTTCTTTACGTATCTGAAAATTGATTAATACTTAGCGAGATGTGAAATCATATCTGATGTCATTATATGTACACCCATGAGCTAACTCGGCTTCCGTTAGGGGAAAATGTAGCGTAAGAAAAGAGCTTCTTACCATTTAGCAAAATTTATTTCAGGTACTGAAATAAATGTTAAACCGAATGTTAATTTGGCATAAATTTCAGTAATTGCCAAAACTAAATGGTAGGAGGCCCTTCGCCTACCTTATTTTTTCCCCTAGCGGTAGCCGAGTTTGCTCGTCGGTGTACTCAATATGAACCCAAGGAGTTTGTATTGGATTTTATAAAGTTTGAAGGAAACCATGGTGTAAAGTCATTATCCAAAATAATACAACTTATGATGGGAACTCTTTAATTTTAGCTGCAAAAAATGCAAGGGTCTGATTCATCAGTTTGTAATAATTTTTCTTAACAGAGACACTGAATATAGCGCAAGGAAAGTATCACAAATCTCAAACATACGTGCAGTTTATTAACCTCTAATAATTTTACTTTCACTTGTAATATCCAGTTCCTTACTTTCAACATATATGTAGAATGCTCAATGCACAACCAAACGCAACCAACTCACAAGTGTTGTGTGTGCGTAATAAACGTATGCATGGACGGTAAGAACATTCTTTACCATTTTTCTACATTACTATAAACTGTATATATTATTAAAGTTTCTATACTAACACCTATACATATAGATTATGTATGTATAAGATTTGTATTTCAATAATTGGAATTGCTTTTCACAAACAACAACTTTAATAATTATTTTATGAGGCATCTGAAATAGTAATTATGTATAAGTATAGATAACGGTTAAACGCAGAAGTAGTGCAGAACGTAATAATTAAATGAATAAAATATAATATACCTTATCACTGGAAAGTCGCATGAAAATGAAAATGATAGAACAGTTGGTAACAAATTTCTTTACCTTTCGTGTAATTTTTATACTTCTTTCAATACGTTCATCAAAACTGTTGTGCGATATGACACAATGTATATACAAGCAAAGTAGATAAGTTTGCTAGTGGAAATATAGTGAAACGAATTTTCTGCTCACATCATAAAAAAAACTCCTTGCAGTGAACAGTTGGACGTATTTTCGGTTGAGTGCAATGTTACGGGCGACGTGAGTAACGTCAAAAAGAAACAAATTAAGTACAGTGGACTCTAACTATATTGCCACTAAATACAGGGTGGGGCAATAACTATGTTCACTTTGAATATTGCTTATACTTAGTATAAACGGGGGCATATTGTGACTCAAACATTTTCTGCATGGGTGAAGGCATAGAGGAGATTCCAAGGTCATCTCTATTGTTTTTAACGGAATGTTATGTTTTTTTTATCGCGATGTGATAGTCGGTGTTGAGACGACTTCGACGAGCTATCATAAAAGGTCACGCAAGGTCAAATGTGGTAGTAAAATAAACTTTCTTACATTACAGGAGATGCTCGAAGTGGTGACCGTTTGCGTCAGTGCAAAGTTGCGATTTTCGTATCGCTGCATCACGTGCATGTCTTATCGTTTCTGCACTTATTCTAGCATATGCTGTATTATTTAATAGAGGATTTTATTAGAAAATATACCACTAAACGTTCGCCAAATAATGTGGTTACAGCACGACGGGTGTCCAGCACATTATGCTCGGAGAGTAAGAGATGCACTGAACGAACTTTGCCCAAATAAATGGGTAGGACGTGGAGGATTAGTTCCTTGGCCACCTTGTTCTCCAGATTTAACCCCATTAGATTTTTTTCTCTGGGGAGCATTGAAAAATGCTGTTTATCAAGAAGTACCCACTACACCAGAAAATATGAAACAACGGATAATTGCAGCATGTGCTAGAATAAGTTCAGAAACGATAAGACATGCACATGATATAAGAAAGTTTATTTTACTACCACATTTGACCTCGCATGACCTTCAATGATAGTTCGCTGAAGTCGTCTCTACACCGGCTATCACATGCGGTAAAAAAAACAGCATTCCGTTAAAAAAAATTAAGATGACCTTGAAATCTCCTCTATGCCTTCACCCACGCAGAAAATGTTTATGTCGCAATATACACCCTCTCTATACAGTGTAAGTTTTGTATATAACATTTTTTCATATTATTACAAATAACGGCAATATTCAAAGTGGACATAGTTATTGCCCCACCCTGTATATTGCCACGCGGGGCACTTCCCCTTCACACGCACTTTCGAGCACAGAAATTCGTTTTCCCACCACGTTGCGTACGCCTGCGCACCAGCACGCTCTAGCTTCTGCGCAGGCGCTGAGGCCGAGGCTATAGAACTTAGCATGAAGCGGGCTCTGAACTCATTACCACTTTACTCCCCTACAGTCCCGACCATGGGAATATAGTTAGAGTCCACTGTATGAAGAAGGGAAAAGCATTGATGGAATAAACGATTGGTAAAGGTACACAAAATTCACATATAGTACAAGAAGAAATTTGTACGTCACTGGATTCGCGCTTCAATGTTTCTGTTAAATACATAGTTCTCTCTATTGCCAAAATGAGGTGCGCAAGCTTCCTGGATCAATTGCTCGAAGCTAACCAAAATGTGTATCACATGTTTGACGGTTTGGTAACTTGAGGTGGTTCGTACCTGACTCTCTAGTCAATAAAGCATCATATTAATAATTCGTATTAAACACGCGATAATACAATTTAATAATGTATAAGATTAGCATTCATTAAAACACAAAATAAGTAAAATATTTTTTAAATGGATTTGTATTTCGCGGGTATGATCCTATTTCAGCAACGTTGCCAAGTCCTCCATATAGTCCCAATAACCATCCAATAACCTACATATCCTGGACTTTATTGTCAAATATCTTTCTGGAATGTTCGGCATGGTAGAAGATTTAATTTATCAGAAAGCTCTGGATATATACGTTCAGTGCCTAGTTTTTAGTTAGCAGTTCTAATTTCTGTGAATAGAAAAGATTATACTTCCAGTAAGAAATCGTAAGACTGATGAAAACTCAATTTTTTACAAGCTTTTTCTTATTTATTTGATCGACGACTAAGACTCAAATTTTTGTGTGTGTGTATTTCGTTCGGCACGAACCCCCTTAAGGCAATGTTACTGGTCCTTGTTCTCGAGATGATACAGCAAAAATGATATTACCACACTCATGTTTAGTAACCATGATAATTATATACATATACAGTGGACTCTAACTATATTGCCATGGTCGGGGCTGGAGGGGAGTAAAATGGCACTGAGTTCAGAGCCCCCTCAATACTAAGTTGTATCGTCATAGCCACGGCCTGCGCGCCTGCGCAGAAGCTGGACCGTGCTGTTGCGCAGGCGTACGTAACGTGATAGGAGAACGAATTTCTGTGCTCGACAGTACGTGTGAAGGGGAAGTGCCTCGCGTGGCAATATAGTTAGAGTCCACTGTTTTTCACACTTCGATATGTACAGGGTGTCCCAAGAAGATGGGACAATCCGCAATATAGATATTCCTCATGTAAATATAAATCGAAAAGAGAAGTCGAGGCCAGTGACTTAGGCTGTGCGATCCTGCGCTTCTTGACTGTCTGCGAGTTCTTTTAACTGTTAGTATCTCGGCAACGAAGTTTCAGATTACAAAATGGTAAAGGATTTGTATTTGCATGAGGAATATCCGTATTGCGGATTGTCCCATCAATTTGGGACACCTTGTATATTACCGGTCCGGGTTGACTCCATTTAAACGTTAAACGAAGCATCCATCTCACGTATTACCTAATCGTATTTGTATTCATAATTTCAAATACCTTCATTAAATGTTTAGTATCACTTTGAATAATTCGGTTTTCTTCAAAGATTATTCTATGCAATTTTCGATGCAATTTCATAAATTACTAGTCTCATCTAAATATAGTTTAAACGGTATTCATCATTATTGCACTCCTCATTACAAGGTTACATTAGTTATTCGTTTAATTCAGGTGTCGAACAGTTGTGTCAACACATGATCGATAAGAGTACTCAGTTATGAACTGCTTAACGTTTCAATTTTGTCGATCAAACCAGGTTTTCTCTACGGCGATTATATCCATCTCGACTTTGTCGTCTTTTTATTGGACAGTGATTGTCGATTCGTTTCGTGTCGATTATCGACATTATCAAACAATCATCACAAAGAGTCGAAAAAAAGTATTTTTGCACGATGCCGCGCGGAAGACGATGTGCAACAGTGGTACCAATACAAAATTTTATCACAGTTTCTCACACTTTCGAGTCACCTTAATCGCTACCGTTGTCGCCTGCAATCTGATCTCTCAGTATCAATCAGAAAATCTTTCGAAATCAAACCCATTAAAGCATTCAAAGTCAATAAATCACTGAGCTGGCTTCGCATAGAAAGAAACCGCTTAATTCACGTTCCTTACCCTTTGTGCCCTAAATGCTACGATTTCTTATTTCAAATCTTCATACGCCGTTGGCACATAACTAATACATTAAATATATCTATCCAAAGAAAATGTAAAATAATGATGGACGCGAGCATAATAAAGGCCGTTTAATGATGACATAGTTTGTGAGTAAGAAAATCAAGATGCCACAAGGTAACGGTTTGTGTCATCCGAAAAGAAGTAATACGAGGAAAAATGAAAGAATTCTCCAGTTTGTGTGGCCGTGAAGTTCGTCCTTTTTTTTGTTTTCATTCTCTCACAAACCGCATCTTGTTGGATTTCGAAAGATCTCCACAGGTTGACTTCGGACGGATGATTTCGTAAAAGCAGAATTGCATCTTCTTCGATAAGTCTTGTAATAACGTTTAGCAACGATCGATTCTAAACAGCAATGCTAAAGATTCCTCATTGGCTTCCATTTTTATTCGCATGCTTCCATAAACTCTTGTATTTCTCTTCTCTTGTTTCGATTTTCTCTTCCTTCAGAGCGTGACGTGTTTATTGTATTCACGATTAAGGGTAGGCGATCGTCTCGGCCTTGTTTCATTAAACAGAGGCGAGTTTTACCAACAAGGATCGTTCAAGCTTTACAAGTAATTAAGCATGCTACGTTATCCTACGCTCCAAATCTTCGTGTAGCAAACTATTATTGTTAGTTTCGTGTATCGATGCTGGAGACGCTTCTTCCGGTTGTTCTCCGCCGCTTAGCTCTAACTGGCCTGTACTGTCGCCGCTGCTAGAGCCACACTCCCCATCGACAAACCTGAAAATAAGTTTTATAATGTTATATTCAGTGGGATAGTATCTGCAGGGTGTCCCAAAATAGATTCGACTCCCGGAAATGTGGAGTTCCTGTGATGATTTGGAACAACTTTTTCCTTAACGAAAATGTTGTCCAAGGCTTCGTTAACGAGATATTAAGGAAAAACACTGACCAATCAGAGCGCGAGTCTGCCGACCGAGTTTCCGCAGTTGCGTTGACTGCCAATCACAGCGCGTAGCCTACGCTACCGCGGGAACTCGGCCGGCAGACTCGCGCTCTGATTATGAAGAATTTCTGAAATAGAATTTTTAAAATTCTGATTATAGAATTATGTGTATATTTTTCTATTCTTAGTTTTAGTGTTAAATAAATATATAAATAATTATTGTAAAATGTGTAACTTTATTTTGGGCAACCCACATACATGGTATAAAATACATACAAACAAGGCCGTTCCTGGGTTGTTGGCCGCCCAGGTGCAAAAACAGTATCGCCGCCCTTATTAATTTAATATTATTTAATTAAGTATTTGATATGTAGTCTTTACTTTTATATCAATGTTGTTTTTTTAACATTTGTTATTCAAAAGGAATATTTCTTAATTTTTTTGTTCATAAAATAAAACAAAGATCCTTGAGAAAATGGTTTTATGTAAAATGAATATTTTATTCCACATGTATGTGCAAAACTAACGTATAATGTTTGTAGTAATGATGTTATGGTTGATAAGTAGCAAACATTAATTACCCACACGAATTTAATCCAATAAATCTGGCTAAATATCTTATGCTATTGTGAACTGTCCATAAAAATAGTTCATACTTGTATACAAGTTGTGCTACCAAAATTACATATAAAATTAATTTGATTGAATTCTATTTGTCTATAATTTTCATAATCATAAACAAAGTCTTGATTATTATTTTTACTAGCCAAAATTTTACATACAATAAACGATCTGCGCCCGCCCAGGTGCGGGGGCACCTTTTGCACCCCCGCCAGGAACGGCCCTGCATACAAGTGCCTGATGGGGAGTGTTATGAGCGAAAGTTAGTGGAGCTGGCTCCCCAAACAAAAATCCTAATTACGCCAATCATAGTCCTTAATATTTATCGCAATTCTTTCATATAAATACTTAACAGTTGGCGATACATGGATCGTTATTCTTAATATTTTGGTCATTCTAATATCGATTCTTCCATGATATCGAAGCATACCTAATAATCCTTATAAACCGCATTAACTGTTAAAAGATTCACAGTTAACGAGAGAGAAGCTGTAGTTTTTTATTTAATAAATGCCATACTATTCCTTTTAACAAAATTTTCAAATATTATTTTCATGCATATAAACAGTGAAAGTGTTAACGGAATGGGCCACGTAAAGGCGTGAAAGAAGGTATTTTCCATGCTTGAGTATGTTCAGTGATCAGATATGTATGTATGTAGAAACCCTTCACCGAACAAAAACATTGAAATGAGCAAAAAAAAAATATATTATTGTTTAATAATCATGTCAAAAATTAAAAAAAATCGTGAAACGAAATTTTGAAATCAGATAAGAATAATGCCACGCTGAAAACACTCCGAATCGTGTTGAGAATATAGAACTACAGCAATAATACATACAAATAAAGCATGCAGAACTGAAGCAATAATATATTGAAATAAAGTATACAGAACTAAAGCAATAATACATAGGAATGAAGCAGTAATACAGAAAATATAAGACATACATGCACAGTAAAACACACAGCGAGTGAAAGGTAATGCAAAAGATACAAAGCAAAGCTAAATTGGAAAGTTTACCTGCACGAGTACTACTAAGAACAGTAAAATATATTACGCATGTCGTAAGTGCGACAGTTTTGAAGAATTTCTTCCAGATTAGCCTGGAAATCCCAGGCGTGCTCCGAACCATTTTGTATCTTTAAAAATATTTACTTTTAATGTGAAATATGTAATTTCCTTTCTATGAGTCGTACATTCGTCATCGCTATATCACTGTGGAAAATTTTGTTCTACATGATAGGAAATGGCGGGAAACATTTCATCCAATAAGTGATACTTAATTTTGGATATGGTGCATCAAATACTCGATTGAAAATCCTAAAAATTGTTGGAAAATGTTGACTGAACCATTGATCAAACAATCATTTTTCCTTAAATTGTTTCTAATACTTTTAAAAAGATGTAAATAATCGAAAAGGAAATGAACTTCTTGACCATTTCTTTAAAAATATGGCTTTTCTGAATTTAAAATTTTGTTCAAAATAACAGACAAATCTGTTTTCTTAATGCTAGATCTAGATACAAAGAAAGTCAATGGTTGGTCCAATTAATAAACAGTAATAACAACGACTACATTTCTATCTAAAAATTCAAGATCTTCGAAAACTTCCATAACTTGCTTGCTCGGGTGGTAATCCACTTTTTGATAGCCATATCATCAAAAGACAGAACACAACTTCGATCTATACTTTCCATATGGGCAGATTTCATTTTGAGAGCGGTAAATAAAATAGCGCAGATTCCAGGTCAAATGTCCATTTTTCCGAACCACCGAATGATTATGACAGGATCGAAGGTAGATGAAAACCCAAGACAGTGTTTTTGCATAATTTAATGTACACAGCTGGCGAAGTGTAATGCATGGTCATGCACAATTGTTACTCACGGCGATTGTAATTACGCGATCTAAGTGGCGGAAATTTTTTTTTTGCAATTGCTTTCTTCAAGCGTGCATCACCAATACAATTAGAAATATTCTTCTTTCCTAGTAATAGTGCTTCAGTTTCTATCAATCGTTTCTCCAGTCGATTGTGTTCGCTTTTTGCTGAACTGCATTGGCGTAACTAACAAGGGTTAGTTGTAGAAATTCCAGAAATTATTCAAATATGTAAAAAAATATTCGCCAGTTACTAAAATCTTTTGTTATAAGAAATAAATACTTGCGCCAAAATGCAATAGGAAACGCAATTAAATACAAACAATACAATACTATCCTCATTGCGTCAAAGTATTAAGTAAAATTGTATTAAAGTTAAACTCTTTAATTTCAATACTCTACTGTAACTAATAATCCTGTAACATCAATTGAAGGGCCGCATGCAATAAGGGAGGAATGGGAAAGAAGCGTTTGTGTGGAAACGGTTCGGTTTCGGTACGAGAAACGCTTCCACTTTACGACCGACGCGACGCGACGGTTCGATTCTGGTGCGAGAACCGCTCCCACTTTTGTGACTAACCGTTCTGTAATAGAGTAACGAAGGCGCAAGTACCGATTCCACTCCCATTCTATTTATAGACAAGTCTCGAGCCAAACTTCCGAGCCCGAGTGTATCGAACGTAGCTAATTTTTTCTATCTTTTAATTTAGAAAGTTTGGCCTATTTGAATAATACCCTTTGAGGTTGAAATATCATTTTTATGAGATGGAAAATTATAAATAAATTCCTGTTTTCAAATTTCTGAAAAATAATTCAATGAAATTTTGTTTACTGTTTGCCTACTGAAAGAATTAAAAATTATACTAAATGTGGGAATATATCGGATCACAGTTGTTAAAATATACTTCTAAGTTGAAAAAATTCAATATTTTCTAATTTCTAATACATTCTGCTGTGAACTACGTAGGATTTTTGCAAAATATTGAAAACTCTTTCTACAATTAACTTAACAATTAATTACAATTAATTTTCGTTATATCACAGTAAGTATTTTTGTGTTTTTTATATTAATAACAATATTTAATTTTAGAAGTTCATACTTTTTTTTACATATTTCGTACATAAATATCATATTACAGTAAACTCTAAATTTAATGCCACTTTCGGGATTGTAGGCGAGTAAAATGGCATTAAATTTCGTTCCCCTCCATGCTAAGTTCTGTCCCATGGCGTCGGCCTTGGCGCTTGCGCAAAAGCGGGATTGTGCTGGTGCGCCGGCGTACGCAATATGGTGGGAGAGCGAATTTGTGTGCGCGAAAGTACGTGTGAAGGGGAAGTGACTAATGTGGCAATATTTTTAGTGGCATTAAGGTTAGAATCTACTGTATTTTGACACAATCGTAACCTAAGCCATTCGCGAACTGAACATTCATTAAAAATCACCTTTTAATTTTATTTCTTCTGTTTCGGGAATTTTTTATAACAATAAGACTTTCAAGATGAAGAATTGAAGAAGCGTATTAAAAAAGAAAAACTAGGACAGAAAAAAAACAAGAATTTGCTGCCAAGAAAGTTGCAAAAAGTGTTGAAAAAAAATAAAAAAGAAAGGAATAATTTTCATTTTGTTAATTTTGTTTAACTTTCTTTAGTTTGTTTAACTTTTTTTAATTTTAATTTTGTTTTATTTAAAATATATATTTTCTATAAAACGTTTATAATAAACCAAAGTTAAATCCATTATGTTTGTGTTTAATGCACAATTTTCTTAATGTATAAAGATAAATGTTTAAAAGCTTTTACCAAATATACAGGGTGAGGCACTTAAAACCGGGCACCTGAATAAGTTGGCTGCTATTGGTGATAGGAAAAAAAGCATCAGGCCAAAATTATTTAGTATCGAGGGGCTGATCATCCGATGTTACTAGTTTTTTGATAGGTGGAGGCGTCAAGGAGATATGAAGGTCATCTTTGTTTTTTTAAATGGAACGGTATGTTTTTTTACTTACATTCTGACCATTTTGAACACTTGTATTAGTCGTGTATTACTGTTAGATAAATAAATCAACGGTGCTTGATCATTTCCTCAAAGTAAATTATTTTCCATCACAATTGGCTGAACCCAGACCACGAATGACCTTTCCAATAGGTCATTGTATTCGTCTTGAAATACTCTATCAGAATGTACGTAAAAAGATATACCGTTCCATTTAAAAAAACAGAGATGACCTTCATATCTCCTTGAAGCCTCCACCTATCAAAAAACTAGTAACATCGGATGATCAGGTGGCCGTTTTTAAGTGATCACCCTGTATAACATATACATAATAATAGAA